GAGAGAGAGAGAGAGAGAGAGAGAGAGAGAGAGAGAGAAATGGAGAGAGAGAAACGGAGAGAGAGCATGAGAGTTTAGAGTTGCTAAAAAGAGAGACAGAGACATAGGAGAGACAGACATGCGAGAGAGACATAAAAAGAGAGGGGGAAGAGATTGATTTATATTTTCTCCATCATTTGATTCATATATCCCATCTACAAGTGGCTTTCCAGAAGGCATAGAACCCTGAGGTAAATATAGCCTACAGAAAGATATGTGTGTGTAGCTACCAGATAACCCAGGCCTGTTGTAGCTTGTGGTGTCTTTCTCCTAGCAGAAAGTATTTTACTCTTGTTCTGGAGTGTAACTGCTGAAGTCTTGACCTGCTGGGAGAAATTCTACATCCTGCATAAAGTCACATTCTAATTGTTGGGTCTTGCATAGTTTCTTTGGTAAGAGGACAAAATAGTTGACTTCCAATAATGAAGGACATTATGGGGAAGTTTTGATATGCCGTTTGGACATAACAAAGGGCAAGAACTCGGAAACAGAATCTGCCCTGAATGAGGACCATCATTCACTACACAAACAGAAAAGAGCTCCCGAGGCTGCCTTCAAAGACCTGGAGACAGGATGCTCTAAGATCCTAACTCATGGTGTAGTGCACAGAGAGGATGCTGCAGGGAACAATGTAAACTGTTTGACTTTCAAAGAATAACCATGGTAGCCGAGCCATTTCAATAAAACATGGTTAAAGCCCTGGATCCGGGAAAAGCTCCTGCTGAGATCTGAAGTGGGGAAGGAAAGTATCGCTTAGGTGGCTGTGTAATGTTTTCCTCAACATATGAATCCCAAGGGACTAAAAGCTGGGCTCTTTCTCTCTCTTGTTCCTATTACTAAAAAGAACCTTCAACAGAAGATGAAACTAAGAAACCAGACTCATAACCTCTCTGTGGGAATGACTTTGACGCTGTCCTGTTTCCATAGTCTTTTTTAACTCACAGTTATATATTTCTAAGCAGCTATTAGCATGTCCCACAGTGTAATGTTATGAGTTTTTATCACCAGGCCACTGGATTTGTTTCTACGGGGCACTCATGATTGTCTTATGAGTAGTTTGATTAGCCTCTATTAGAGTCAGGTGTGACCAGTTTTTCACTCAATTCCACATTGCTGAATACTCAAGTTGTTTAAAATAAGTATCTGTAAAATACACTCATATTTTTCTAACAAGTTCTTTAATTATGAAAAATTCCCTGTATTTATTTTGTAGCCACACTGGGAAAATTTTAAGGCACCAACTGCCTGCTTCTAAATGGCTTTCTAAAGGGGCTGAGTTTTTGTGTGCATGTATCTGTGGGCACCATGTGAGTGCCTATACCCACAGAGGCCAGAAGAGGGTGCTAGACCCCCCCCCAGATCTGAGCTACAGGTGGATGTGAAACACTACCTCTGTCCACCTATTCCCCCCCTTCCCCCAGCCATAGGGGTGCTGGGAAGCAAACTTCAAAAGCATCAAGTGCTCTTAACTGCTGGGCCATCTCTCCAGTGCCCCCTTTTGTTCTTTTGTAGGCATCCATTCTTTAAAAAAATTATCCACAGCTTTGTCAGAATTAGACATTACAACTTTAATTATTTTTGTGACTTTTTCCTATTTATTTTTGGTGTGTGTGTGAACTAGTCTCAAGGTTGTTGGGCAGCTTACCCATCTCTTTCCTATTTCTAAACACCATGGGCAATCTATGGACAGTAATAAAGTAAAACATTAGGGGACATCTAACCCAAGGGTTTTCTCTACTCTAATAGATTTTTTGTTTGTTTGTTTTTTGTTTTTTGAGACAGGGTTTCTCTGTGTAGCTTTGCGCCTTTTCCTGGAACTCGCTTTGTAGACCAGGCTAGCCTCGAAGTCACAGAGATCCGCCTGCCTCTGTGCCTCCCAAGTGCTGGGATTAAAGGCGTGCACCACCACAGCCCAGCTCTAATGGAAATTTTAAGGTGATCCCTGGGACATCACTCACTTCCATATTTAAACTGCAGGTAAGCTGAACTGACTTTTCAGGATGGCTTGTCACTTTCATTTTGTTTGAAACTAAATTCTTTTGAGAATGCTACCATAAAAGATCACTCAAGGCTCTTATAATCATATCAGCTACAGCTACTCAGCTGTAAGGTCAAATCCTGAGGGACAGAAGGGGATACAGTTTTCTCACAGAGGTGAGTGCTGCGGCCAGGAGGTCATTTAGCTGAAATAGTGCTCACCACTACCTCAGTCACAGTAGTTTTCCAGTCTATCAGTGGGAACTGAAAATGAGTCATAGCTTTATGTTTTTAGTATGACATAATTTCACATTCATCATGTTATAACCATTATTTCCTTTCAAGACTGTACTATTTTGGGGCTGGAGAAATGGCTCAGCAGTTAAGAGCACTGGCTGCTCTTCCAGAGGACCTGAGTTCAATTCCCAGCAACCACATGGTGGCTCACAGCCATCTATCATCTGATGGCCTCTTCTGACATAAAGGTATATATGCAGATAGAGCACTCATACATAAAATAAATAAATAAATATTTAAAAAACATTTAAAAAGACTACTATTTTCATCCAACTAGGAGAAGAAGAATACTTTAAGGAACAAAGATCAGGTATTAGATGGAAAGGTGGTAGGTCCAACATGGCCTTGGCTTCTAGAACTGCAAATGGTAGGGGTGTGCATGGGCGTGGGAGTGTGTGAGTGTGTGTGTGTGTGTGTGTGTGTGTGTGTGTGTGTGTGTGTGTGTGTAAGGCTAAAACTAAACATTCTCAGAGTGGGCAAGTAAGTGTCTGAGAGGCAAAGAACAGCAAAGAGTCAGCTGTAAGGTAGAATCAAAGTCACCCATTCCCAATCTTGCTTTTTTTTTTTTGTAATTGAGCAGCTTGTATCCAAAAACTCATTCAATTTACCATGTTTCATTCTTAGCATTAAACATTGGATTAGCATTAGGGAAGTATCCAGTTGGCTCCAAATATTTCTGTGTAAGGTCTAAGACACAGGGCAGATCTCCTGGACTTCTACAGGGCTTAGCATGTTTTCTATAAAGTGTGGGGCTGGAATCAATGCTCCCTCGTTCCTTATAAGATTTAATATTACTACCATTCCTTGTTGTTGGACCATAGATGTCACCTGTAAATCTTTATTCCTCGGGGATTGGATTAAATTTTGCTTCGAACCCAAATTCCGGAGTTGAAGCTTGGCTGCTCTAGTTCGTATATTTTGCACATTATCCCTGATTTCCCCAAATTCAACCATGTTGGCTAATTCCTCATCCTTAGTCTCTATCAGCTGTCTCCTTCAGGCGCTGGTGAGGACCCACTTGTCACAGGCATGGTCTGTCTTGGTCTCACTGGCTTCTCATTTCTTCCTCTTCCATCTCACTTTCCTCCTCCCTCCCAGACCATCCGGGAATTCAGCTTCAGTCTGGACCAGTCTGGACTGTTTTTAGCTTCTACTCGACACCCGACACACCTGTTATTTCCATTTGCATTTCCTGGAGGCAGAGAAGCCTTTAGAACATGACGAAAGGAAAACCAGAAAGCTCATCCTGGACAATTAGATTTGGTTCTGCATCAGAGGACGGGGCATCCCTGTGGGGGAGTTCTGTCTCGTTTATCCCATAAGTAAACTTCTCCCATCAAATCAGAGTCTCAGTCCTCTGTGGCAATATGAT